AACGCCTTCTTCGCCTTGCCCACCTTGGAGGTGGCTCACTGGTCAAAGGCCTATCTCCACCAGAAACAAAATGAACTCTGGAAGAGGAGACTTGATGCCGCTGTGTGGAGGCTGCACCAGGAGCGTTTCGGCTGGTGCTGGTGCAGGGACTGGGCTCACCGGACACACCCAGTCTCGTCATGGTGCTGCTCTGACAGGGAGCAACTGCACCTCTGAAAAGGTTGTGGGAGCTGCTGTAGCTGGGGGTCCCTTGAGAGCACCCTGAAAAACAAAGCAACAATGTTGCAACGAGGACATTCCTGCTAAAGGAATGCTTGGAGCCAGCAGCAGAGTTGAGAGACAATTATAAAACTGTGGCAGTTCCTGGCAAGGTCTCTTCCAACAAGGGGTTGGAAAGAATTCATTTCCTTAACCTGGACATTTCACCTCTAAAACCTTCCCCTCATCCTTCCTTAAACCCTCTCTATGTAGCTATCCAACCCACTCCATATCCACAAATCCCTAAGTACCCATGATAAATAATGCCAAAACTAGTTTGGTTCTTACAGAGTACTTCCAGATTTAAAGAGTTCTAATACTTTACATACCTACGTTTATAGCTTTTTAAAACCTGGAGCCCTTTATCTCACCATTAAGTTAAAAGGTGGGAGGGGGCGGGAGGCAGGACAGCATCAGGGACTATAGGGGGCTACTACGCAAACATATACTGCTGTTTAGAACCAAGTTGCTCCAGGACCCCAATCCTTCACATGCTTGAGTTACCTGCACCCGAGAATTCATCCCAGGAGTCCTCAAGGTCACTGGTTTCTTGCATCCGGTCACTGAGTCTCAGGTGACAATCCTCATCTGATTCCTTAACTGTTTTCAAGATAGGCTGATGATCTGCTGCCTGAGTCCTTTTTGCTTTCAGAATGCTGGTTCCCTCTTCCCCTGGGGGATCAGGGGCCACTAAATTCTGATCACAGTGCTTGGCCCAAGCAGCATCCTCCATTAAGTTGTCTGGATCAGTCACTATCTGATTTCGGAGAAGCTGATCTAGCGTATCATAAAATGGACAGTGTGGTGGATCGCCCATACTTGTGGCATGGGCAACATATGCCTTTAAATATAATGCTTTCAGAACTTTAAACTTGGAGCGGCACTGGCGTTCGGTGCGGCAGAAGCCTTCCTGCTGCATTCGCTTAGACACAGCCTGATAGACATCTGCATTATGATGCACAGTCTGGAGGCGCTGAATGTACTCTGCTTCACCTAGTATGGAGAGAAGAGTTCGTGTCTCCTGTCTGGACCACCGGATGCCCGCACTGTTATTGGTACTGGCCATAGTGAACTGGGAAGGAAGGCTAGCTGAAGAAAGCTCCTGGACAGCAAGGTGCAAATCTGAAGGTGTGGGGAAGCTCTGTGTGCTCTCAGTATATTTCCAGGAGCCAGCTGATTCTTCCCTCTCAGGGCTAATTGCTGAGAAGCCAGGTCCAAGGACCGCATTTCTGGCTGGAAGGCCACAGGGGAATGAGAGTTACAGGGAGGGCGCAAGGATAACTTTGGCAGCAAGTGAAGTGGAGCTACCTGTAAGTACTTCATAAATAGACATGATGCCAAGACTGAGAAAGCCCAACTTTGGGAGTTCACCCAGGACGGACACTAGACCAGGGGCTAACAAAGGCCTTACTGGTTTGGTAACAAAAAGACTGGCTCCTCCACATAGGGCCAAATGCTTACAAAGCTGAGTCTACAAAAATCACCATTGCCTGGTAACTAAATTGAGGGGAGAAATAACCTGGACCAAAAATCAGCTAGCTCTGGGGAAGTACTAGCAGGATCATGCTGTAGCAACATGTCTGAAGGGCGCTCATCCTTTACTAACCTTTGCCTACCTAGGTAACAGGCTGTGGTCATGTGTTACCCATCCATCACTATAGCACTTCTTTATTAAAAGGTCATTTACAGGGCCAAAAAAGTAAAGTTAAGTTGTTCCTGTCAATACAGAGCTTTCTAAATAATAGGGCTGAAGACAGCCACACCATTTGCCCAAAAGCAGCAGCACGACACAAACAAAAATATACTGCTGGCTGCTTACAGTGGTTCTAGCTTCGAGACTTATCCGCAACTCTGGGCTTTTTTTAGGAGTTTGTAATTTAAAAATTTTTGACACCAACTTATTTTCAATATGCTCAAACTAAATTTTATGAATGAGTAAAAGAATGTGGAAGTATAGTTATCATCACAAAAATCTGAATTCTCTCCAAAATATTGTTTTGGGTTTAGTGCATTGACATCCTAAGGAAAAGAATTAATATCAAGTTCAGTTAACTAAACCAGGTATGTGACCCAAAAAAAAAAGCTGTGTGTATGTATATATATAAAATAAATAAATATTAAAATTAACCTATAATGTCAAAATCCCAAGACCATAAACACAAGCAAATTTCTACTTAAATTCTCAATTGAACCAAGTGCAAAGGAAAGAAACTGGGGCTGAGGGTTTGAAGACCTGAAGTACTTCTCTAGTTCACACCCTAACTAATTTAGGAATGCCACAATTTCTATGTGCCTTGATTTTCTCATCTATAAATGGGGAGGGAAAATACCTGTCTTACCAACCTTGCAGGGATGTTAAAAGGATAAATAATAGATGTGAAAGAACTTTCAAATTTTAAAAACACTGTATCAAGTATTACTATTCTCGCTAAAACGAAAACCTCTATTATGGTAATCTATAATTTAAGAAAACAGAAGTCTGGGAAAGCAATCCTCTTTAATCTTTTAATTAAAGTCACAACAGATTAACCTGATTCTTAACTTAAGACATTAATTAAGCTATTTCTCTAATGATTAAATTTGCAAGACAAATGGAAAACTTAGTTCCAAGACAGTGTCACAAAGGCCCTAAAGAAGAAAATCAATAGCTTCTACACAAATTATGAACAATTGTAGTAAGTTTTGTAAAATTCAACTACAGTGCAAAGTCTTCAAATTTCTACAAAATCTTCCAAGTTCTTTCAGTTAAAAAAACAACATAAAATTGTGAAAAGTCCAAATTACCCTCTGAATGACTCAAATATCAAAAATGAATATTGGCAGTTACCAATACTCACAGACCTGTCAGCAAGAAACATATGTCTGTGTGAATCCCATTCTTCAGAAGACCCAAAACAATCAAAAGAAACAGTTTACTGGGGGTACTCTTTGAAATAACTCAGTCATGAAAAGCAACTAAAGGACACACTGTGGTGTTTCTAGTTTCATTTCACATTATGCTTAAAATTTATAAACACAATTTTATTGCCATATGTAAAAGTATTATTTCATTCCTTACCTTCTGCCAAGGATCTGCTTTACTTTCATTACTGTATTTGAAATATTTCTTATTCTACTTTGCTTTGCTGCCAGTCCAACAACCTGAAAAAGAGCAATATATTATAATGCGTGTAATTTTTAATTATTTCAAAGTACAAACATGATAGGACTAGTACCTCTTCATTTCTGGAGTAAGCAACAACAGCTGGAGTAACTCTGTCACCTGCATCATTTGCAACCACACCAGCCCTGCCATCCTGGATAAAAATACACAACTGTATTAGTCGTTTGGGAACGAAACACACAATCTTATTAGACATATTCTGACATATGTGGGTCAGCGTTACTTTGCATATAAGGGGGGGGAATTGCTATATCAATATTTTAAATTTGTAATTACCATTATTAATTTCCTAGAGTTTATAGAAGGCCTACATTCCATAAACAATTGCCTCATTTTTTCAGTCTACTCTGCACAGCCAATAATTGGATCAAATAACCACCTTTTTATATATAATAACAAAAAGCTTATTATTATATCACCCTTTCTACTTCTTTCCCTTCCCTCATAAATACATCTTCTTCCCTTCTCTTCTACAAATTAAGTAGTACTAATCCCTTTGGCTTTTGCTTACAAATCATTTGATATTTAAACACGGGAGTAGTATCAGGGAGGTTCATTATTATTGTTCCTGCTGACTTTTCACTGATAAGAGGAAGGCCACAAGCCCCCCTCGCTTTCAGTCTCACTTCCAGAAAGGACAAGTCAGTACAGCAAGCACGATCAACTCGCTTCACAGTCAAGCACGGTTCACGAAAGCAACCACTCCTGTTCCAGATCGCGTGCACCCCGCCCTCTCCTGGCAACCGTCCAGGGACCTTCCGCTCACAGATTTTCGGGCCCCCGCCACGCCGCCGCGCACACATCTCCGGGCATGCTGCGGCCTGACATCCCGGGGGCCCCGCGCGCCGACGCCGCCACGACACCCCCCAGGACGCGGCGCGGAGACGGCGCGGAGCAGCCGCGGGGAACGAAGCCTGGTCCGCCCGACCCTTCGCCTTTTCCCCTCGCAGTAACGCCTCTCCGCTCGCCGTTCCCAGCCCAGCAGACGACCAGAGGAGTTGACCTGAGGCCAGAGGTCGGAGTGGCCGACATTAAGTCCACTGCCCATCTCCCCAAGCCCTTCACCTTATAGACGGCCACACAGGCTGATGTGCAACCCAAGTGAACACCAATGGCCGCCATAAGGCGGTAGAGACGGCGGCAGCAATAACAAGAGGTCCCCCCGTGGCAACAGCTACCGGCCTCCGAAGAGCCCCACCAGACAGCGCGCAGACTTCACATTCCCGCCCGCCCACTGCGCCGGTCGATCGCGACTGCCTCCTGCGTCGCCGCCAATCAGTCCGAAGGTCCCGCCTTCCGTCGCGAGGAGTGGGCCAATTGCTTTAGTACGTCTCTCTCGGCTCAGAGGGAGTTGCACACAGCGAAGAATCATGCGCAAGCGCCACACCGGGAGGGAAAAGAAGAGGCTCCTTGGCTCCGCCCACCTTTTGGCCTTGTCATGAGAACCAATGGAAATTCAGAGTTGAGTTGCGTCATTTGTCCTAGCAACTCAGGGCAGCTTGTTTTCAAAGGCTCGCTCGGCTTTCCGGCGTCCTGTACAGCGCTCAGCGATAGCAGCCGGGCTATCTCTGGGCGGGTGGCGGAGGCGTTGGAACTGCTGGAGCAGCATGTGGTGCGCGAGCCCAGTAGCAATGATGGCCTTTTGCGCCGGGCTTTTGGTCCCTAATTCCGTGCCGGCGCAGGGCCAGGAGGCTCCGGGACGCCACGGGGCCGACTGTGAAGGTGAGCGGTGTGAGACCTGCTTGCATGGCGGTGGCACCGCGCTGCAGCACAGCTGTTGCGGGCTTTGGTTTCTCCAGGCCTTGGCTGTAAATAACATTTCACTCAGAAATGCAGGCCTTACCGACTCCTAGTTTCAGATCGCCTTCGCCCAAACTTAGGAAATGTTCGAGCCGGGCCCAGTGACGTCGAGCGGACCTTGAGGCCATGTTCTGGTCACTGCCGCAGTGGAAGCTGGCGGTTTGGATTTTAGGTTAGATTTTGTGTAAACCCAACTAAATTCAGATGACCCTGGCGGCAGAGTGATTCTACTGCTTCTAACTGGCGAGCCTTGCCGCTGCTTGCACAGATGTCTTTCAAGTACACATTAGTTAGTGACTCCCAAAAGGAAACTAAAAACATGGCAAGTTGTCTGCACTTGAGGTGGGGTGGCTTAAATCAGAAGACAACCAACATTTATTAGGACTTTACAGTTAAAAGTTGGTTTACAAAGGAGTACATTAACTCCTTAGAAAGGGGAGGAATACAGAAGAATGATCCCTTTTGAGTTCACCGAATCTGAGCTGTCAGAGCACATGGGTCTGTTTCCCACCCAGCTCACCGACCTTGAGACTGCTATTCCTGGTTCTTGTAAAATCAGCCATAATACCTACCTAAGAGGACTGTTTAAAGATCAAAGAGGATAATTAGCTATGGTAGCCCCTTCCTCCTGTAGCTCTCTGAGGTCCATGTTTCCTTGAAATAATTAGTTTAAATGTATATCCCCCTCACCATCTGTGATCTTGCAAATCTATCCATACTTAACAGGAAATTGTGGGCTCACAATATATGTTGAATGAATGGACGAGTATAGTGTATATTGTACCTAAATAAAATCTTGATAATTGGAGTCCAGGTTTCTATCATCTCTACAATAATTAAACCTTTCTCCAGAATTTTAAAATATCAACATATGTTATTTTAAAACTTTATGTAACTTAGTTTAGCTAAGTTATAATTTTGCTTAAACATCTCTTAAAATCATGTCCTCTACAATTAAAGCAGGATTTGTGAGGCATTGGCAGTTGATCTGATTAGTCATCAATAATTTATTTTCTGGAGCTTCTGCCTAAAAACATTTCAGAAGAGCCAGCACATCTGGATTAATTAAGTGTGAAACTTATGCCATCTTTCCTTAATTTATTGGGGCAGTCTCCTTCCTTAAAAATTTCAGCCTTGGAAACCCTGTGAGGCAGTTCTATCTGGACTATAGAGTCGCTATGAATCGGCATCAACTTAGATGTCAGTAGGTTTATTGTGATTACTTGCTTGCATGTCTGACTAACCTGTGTGTATGTTTCCATTCGTTAGGCAAACCCGTTGGGACCCTATAGGACAGAGTAGAATTGCCCCGTAGGGTCTCCAAGGAGCGGTTGGTGGATTCGAACTGCCGAGCTTTTGGTTAGCAGCCTGTCTTAGTCATCTAGTGCTGCTACAACAGAAATACCACAAGTGGATGGTTTTAACAAAGAGAAGTTTATTTCCTCACAGTCAAAGTAGGCTAAAAGTCCAAATTCAGGGCGTCAGCTCCAGGGGAAGGCTTTTTCTCTCTGCGGGC